CAAGAATTTCTTGACTTCCATTGCAGCTTTGCTTCCATCTGGGCAGGAACATCACTTCCTGGGTGCTGATTTTTGGGGTTCTGTATTTGGGGTTTTGTGTGTGTGTGTGTGTGTGTGTGTGTGTGTGTGTAGCATGTGATGTGTTGCAGATGACTGAATTACCAGACCTGTCTCTTGGTGCCGGTCTGCACTTTATCATTTGGATTTTGTGGGAGGTGTTCTTATGTCTATTCCTACATAAATAGCCATGTTTAATGCTCAGTAAATGTCTAATAAAAAGGATGATAGCTATCTAGAGAGAAGATATTCTGAGTTTTCAACTTAATACATATTTCGTTACCTACAATGCATTTTGATCTCTAAGGTATGCTTTGAAAAGTGATGCCTTCACTTCCTTCTTCAAATAGGATGTTTTAGAGCCTGTGTCAGTCATTTGGAAGTCCATTGATTTTCCTCTGTTGACATATCATATTAGTAGAAAACCCAACTTTTGAGCTATGGCATATGAAAAATAAAACACTTATGATGCAAACTGGCATTGTGTTTCCTTTTATAAGCTCAATACTATAGGAGAGGGATCATTCCATAATAGAATCTTCACATCAAAAATAGAGCATGAACAATAAAGGATTGATAGTTATCTTTAGCTCATTTCTCACTCATGATTCCAGAGGGCCATCTAAGAATAGAATGGAGCTTCGTGGGATCTACCTTCAAGAATTTGAAGGGCTGCCCTGTGGAAAAGGGATTAAACTGATTTTGTCAAGCACTAGAGGGAAGAACCAGGAGCAATGGATAAAAACTACAGAGGCAATCTTAGATGTGATGTCAGGAAAAACTTTTCAACAATTAGAGCTGTTTAATAGTGGCAGAAGGAGTATACTGCATTGCCTGCCCCACCTCCTCCCCATCTCTAGTCATTGGAGGACTAGAAACTGGATGACCGTTTGTCCATTTGTAGGAGGGATTCATCTTGGGAGTATGAGGTGAACTAAAGGGCCGCTGACGGCCCTTCCAAATCTAAAATTCTGTGACTTTTCTCCATTCATTGAGGAATCACAAACAAAACTATAACTAGCAATTTTGGTGCTTGAGGCAAACAGTACATAAAGGCTAGTAGTGTGACATGCACCATCTAAATTTCAGTGCCTTAGGGCTATGTACCTGTCATCCTATCCTAGTTATGGTTCTGGTCTCCAAGTCTATCAGATGAGTACCTGGTGGCTGTTGTTACCAGAGCATGTTTTTTTATTTTATTGGTTTCCAATTGTATCTTTGCTTTGAGCTAGATAAGGCAAGGACATTACTTCCTACATCCTGATTTTGGAGGAACAGGAACATCATTTTGGTTTGTCAGAGGAGAGTAGGGAACCCTACATCCAGAAGACCATAGCCACAGGATTCTAACCTGTCCTGGACTATACCTTTATGTGGCACTTTGGGGTCTGGGGAATACGACATCATGGTGGTTTTGCACAATATTGATTTTCCAACTAATTCTCTTCCCTTCTGTCTGATCCATAGGGATGAGAAGGAAAAGTAGGTGTGTTATCCCAATGCAATGTGGTCCTATCTTCCTAGAGAAGATGAAGAGCGACTTTAAGTCATGAAATATTATTGACATATTATGGTGGATGTTCTGGTCATATCCATGTTTCCAGACAATTCTTTCTCTATTAAATTCCTGAAGCAAAGATAATATTTATTTCAAATTTCTAAGTAAGGGGCTTAACATAGTTTATGCTCAATAAATATGAAATAGTACACTTAAAGTGAAAATTATATTCCTGACGTTAATTTCAGTAGAATTCAGCAACCTAAGAAAACACTAAGCTTTGGTGGACTGCTAAGAAAAGCAGTTTTCTGCTCCATCTCTTTAGGAGTCTACTCTCAGGTTACTAAAAGTGTAAATGAACTTATAAATGTGAAATAACATCATGAATAAAGTAAAACATATTGAATGTTGGGTAGTTCAATTTGCATAGTTTCAATAATTTTGACTTTTATAAATCATTTGCATTGCATCTCTTGTTAGATATTATTAGTTGATGATGGTTGCAATTCCCACCACCAGAATAAAAAATGATTCCTGTCATAAATTTAATAACTGATGTTTATATGGTGATAGCATCCCAACGTGGGAACTCCATCTACCTTTGCAGATCGAGTTGATAAATCTTAGGAAGTTTTCTATGGCATATATTAATTGTCACTTGTCTTCCTAATTCTAAACCCACTTCTGACTGTCTAATATAACACTGTTTCATGCTGTATTTGTTACACAACATCCAGAGTAAGATGGTCAGTTCTGGGTACCATGTCTTAGGAGTTAAGTCTTAGGGAAAATACTGATAAACTGGAAAGCATCCACAGAAGTACAAGTTGGATGGTGAAAGATCCTCAAATTCATGCTATATAAAGATGAATAGAAGATTAAAAATGGGAGTATCTAGCTTCCAGAAGAGAAGACTTGGAGGAGATAGGTCAGCTGCCATCATGTATTTGAAGAGTTGTCTATAGACAAGGAATTAGATTTGTTATGTATGGCTGAAGTGAGAAAAACTAAGTTGCCAAGACAGATTTTAGCTTAATGTAAGGAAAAGCATCCTATCAGGCAGAGCTATCCCAATGTGGAAAAAGCCTCCTCAGTGAAGGACTTCAAGCAAAGGTTGAATGACTATTAATTGGGTATGATGTAGAAGGGATTTTTGTTCAACAGAGTTTGTACTAAATGGCCTCTGAGGCCACATTCAATTCTTAGATTCTATGATTTAGTATTTCTTTTTTTTCCCTTTTTAATTTCTACCAGTCTCTAACTGTAATGAATTTACTTTTATGTTTATATGGTAGTGATTTGAGAACTTACAAAGTTAAACATTTTTTTAAGAAGCATTTCCATTCACCTTTAGTATTTTAAAATTTCTGGACACACATGCCAAAATATTAACAAAATGAATACTGAATAATGTGCTGAAGAATTTGGTAAAAATTAAGGTAATGACTAACTTGGACTAAGCCCTATTCATGGATGCTGTCAATATTATGCTAGAGTACACACACACTGTCATTTGATTCGGTGCCATGCATTGTATAGAATTTTTAAAAAGGAAAACATGCCTTTTCACATCTGCTATATATTATTTAATTGGATAGATCCAGAGCCATAATCTCTATGAGTAAATAACAGTTTATCACTACCCACAAGAGAATATCTATTGTTATATTTCAATATGCAAAATGACTAAGACTAGACTTGGTGTTCATTTATGTGGTTAGTATTTATTTATATATTTTAAATATGTACCTAAATATTCAGAAATTTATGATAGTAAAAACAATGAGGGCAGGGTAGAAATTTCAGAGAATCTACCATAGTTAGTATTTTAGCTAAATATGGCCCCTAACTTTATAAACATTTTAAAAAATCAGCAAGTATGATTTTGCCTAGGTAAGTGTCTTCTTGATAATAGAAACAAAAACATTTCCAAGTCATGTGACCAACAAGATGGAGAATTAGATATTTTCTCCAATCCTCATGACCTCTCAAAATTCTCCAAAACAGAAATTATGCACCAAAGATACTTAAGTTGTCTCCATGGTCAAGGATACCCAGAAGGTTTAAAAGAACAATATAAACTGATGTCTACCCTGAGCTCATTTAGCACCCTTTTACCCATTGCCTCTTATGCTATCAGCATCAAGGCTATACTAGCTGACCCAAGGACTCTACCCACGGGTTTGCAATAAACTCAACTCCACACCATGGTGTCCCTTCTCTCTTTCCAATGCAGTGGAGATCTAGCTCCAGGCTGCAGAAGTTTGTGGGGGCCTTGGTCACTAGCACTATGGCAGAGTTCTATGCTATAGAAGGTCTCTTCAGGAGAAGAGAGGAACAAAGGGGAAAAGGCAGAACACATATCTGGGCTTGAAATAATGCCCAACCCCACACCCTACATCCCCCTCCTCCCAGAGTCTCAGAGACCCAAACTGCAAGCAACAGAAATCAGCCCTGGCTGCACTGGCACCACTGTGGCAGTGCTCTAAGCTGCTGGGCCAGAGAACTAAGGTTCAGAAGGAATGTGAGAGCATACCATGTGTATGTCTTGGGGTAGGGGGGAAGGGTGGGGAGAGTAAGGGAAGGAATCAGAAAATGAGCAATAGGGGAAAATAAGGGGGAAAAGACTGAAATTACCAAAGATTTCAGAAAGAAGAAAACTCAAAAACCTCAATCATAAACAGATAAATCAACAGGGAAAACATTAACAGCAGAAGGAAATATGGCCTCCAGATTTAATAAACAAGTTCCAGCATCTATGAATAAATACTACAAAAAAAGGGCAAATGATCCAAAAATTGATGAGACAGAGGACCTTGTGGAATTTGAAGAGAACATAGAACCACAACACCTTGATTGGTTTAAAAGAGAAATGAGAATCATTATAGCAGAATTTATGGCCTATATGGCAAAAATAATGAGCAAAATAGAAAAACTGGAATTTGCCATGGTAAATCTTACCAAAGAAACAAAAAAGACAACAATGCAAATAGGAATACAAATAGACAGAAGTGAAGAACAATCTAGAAGAAGAAGAAAAAACAACAACCAATAACATTAAAAGAAAATATCTCTCTAACCAAACAAAACATTCTGATCTTGAAGATAGGAGGTATAGAGAAAACCTAAGGATAATAGATCTCCCACAAGAACATGACAAATAAAAAAACCTTGAATACCACAATGAAAAAAAAATGAAAAACAAAACAAAAAAACTGCCCAGAATTTCTGAACATAGAAGATACAACATAGAAAATAAAATACCAATGGAAAGAATTTATATAAAATCTTCAGAAAAAATCCTAGGCAACAAATTCCAAGACACATAATGGTTAATTTAGCAATTCAATTCAGAAACAGGTTCTGCAAGTGACCAGGAGAAAGCCTTTCATACACAAGGAAAGGAAATTTGAATGATACAATATTGTGCACCCAGCAGGAAACGCAGGATAGAGTAATGTGTTCAAAGCTGAGGGTGACCTATTCTGTAAATCTGAGCTCAACCATAAGTGAAAAAAGATGTGTATTCAATGATAAAAAGGTATGAGAAACATTCTTAGTAGGGGTAAATGAATGTAGCAGCCAAGGACAGCAACAGCAACAGAGTGAAGTTGAAGAGACTAGTAAGAGAATACTTTCTAAATGTAAACTAAGAGACAGAGAGAGGTGAAAGCGAAAGTCAGGTGGAGGTAACAACAGTGGAGAGTCAGACCTGGAGCACTATGGAGAGAGCCCTGTGACATCCTGCCTACAGGTGAATCAATGTTTTTGTTTGTTTGTTTTTTGTGGGACTACATTACAAAATTGGAAGGTGAATGAAAGGGAGGGAGGGGAGAAAGGGAGCATAGCAGATTGTGTGATGTGCCCGGGTCAAATCAAGGTCTAGTAACAAGGGGAAAGTGACCCCTGTGGTTTCTCAGAATTAGAAGAGCCTGCAGAGGAGTGAGCCAGGAGGGGGGAGGAAGGATTGCAAAGGAGGAGTGGGAAGAGAGAGGACTTGCTTTGGTGGTGACAGGAAATTCCACTGATGAATGTTTCTAGACGTGAAGAGAGATGTTCTGTGACAGATGGGGACCTTGTGCTGGGTATTATCCAAAGGATTTAGTGCTTGCAAAGATCATATATTCTACCTCAGAAGGGGAAGAGTTATAACTCTTGGGGCAACTGGTATCCGGGGGAGTGGGAGGGAATGGACCCAGGGAGGAGATTTTGAGGCAAATGGGGAAAGAAGGTAACCAGGAGGAGAGAATAAATCGATAGTGGGTTACATAACCAAGGGCATGGTAGTAACGGGTCTTCTTGGTCACCTGCATGAATTGGCATTGTTTTGAGAGAAGAGGCACAAGAAAAGAGGGGACCTCAGGAGGCAAGCTCTGCAGGACAGTCTCAGAAACTGCCTAGAGGGAAGAACCCAGAATAGATACCTTAGAAGTTTTGATTACATGAGGAACACAGAGAATAGAAAGGGATTAGATAATTATAGGGGTCATGAACAAGAGAATGAATGTTTAGAGTAGACAGAAAGAGAAGATATATAACTAAGAGGGTGAGAGAAATCCACACTTGATAGGGTCACAAAAAATGAAATAAAAAAAAACTAATGAAGAGGAGAGGTGAGGAAGAGAAATGTACTTGATTAACTGAGAATAAAATAGAGAAGAAATTAATCAGATAAAAGCAGGAAGGAAAAAGGAATTCATGAGCAAAACTTCAAAGGAAAAGAGATAACAAATAAAAGGAGGACTCAGTGTGAGGGGAAAGAGATCCAGTAAGAATAGGAAATTAAATGATAATGATGAAACAATATATCAAAATGTATGGGATACAACTAAGGCAGGGAAAAATCATATCGTTACAAATATACATTAACAAAATAGAAAACCAAAGGCATAATGCATAATATATGTATCTAATTTTTTTAAAGTAGAAAGCCAATAAACTTAAAATCTAAGCACAAAAAACACAGTAAAAATCAGAAAAGAAATGAATTGTAAACAAAACACATAGAAATGATAAATTAAACTAAAAGCTGCTTCTTTGAAAAGACATAAAATTGATGAATATTTAGATGCTCTGATTAAAAAGAAAAACAGAAAGTCAAATAAAATGCAATAAGCAGGTGAAATCACATAAAACAGATAAAATATAAAGATTAATCAGAACATATTATGAAGTTACATGCTAACAAAATTGAAAAGATAAAAGAAATAAATACCTTAAAACATAAGATACCCAAGACCAGATAGAAATCTTAAATAACCCAATCACATAAAAGGAAATAGATCTAGCTATGAAGGAACTAACATAGAAAAGAACTTCTGGTCCTGATAGACCATACAACTTTAAAGAACAATTAGTATCCATATTTCACAAATTATTTTCAAAAATTGTGGAAGAAAGCAGCCAACTAGAATTCTTTTACAAAACAAATAAGTCTTAATATCTAAACCAGGTAAAGATAAATCACAAAAGAAAAGCTATAGGTCAATATCATTAATGAACACTGATTCAAAAATTTTGAACAAAATCCTGCCAAAGACTATATCCATTTTTCTAAGAAATCATTCATTATGACCAAGTGGGATTTATACCAGAGATGCAACAATGGCTCAACATCAGGAAAACAATCAACATAATTAATCATATTAAAACCCAAAACATCCCAAACCACACAATTACCTCAATAATTGCAGAAAAAACCTTTGACAAAGTATATAGGCCTTCATTATCCTAAAAACTCTACAGCGTATAAACAGAGAAACTGCAAAAAAAAATCATAAAAAAAAACAATCTAAAAAAGAAAAGTAAGCATTATATGCCATGGAAATAGTCTAGAACTTTTCCCAATAAATACATGAGTGAAGCAAAAATGTCCATTCTTTCCACTATCATTTGGTGTAACTCTGGAAATGCTAGCAAAAGCAATGAGACAAGAAAAAGAAATGAAAAGAGTAAAGCTAGACAAAGAGAAGATAAAATTATCCCTATCTGCTGATGACATGATGGTATACCTAGAAAATCCTAGGGAATCAACAAAGATACCAATCAAGACAACAGCTTCAGCAAATGTGAAGGCTACAAAAGAAATTCTCAAAAATCAATAACATTTTTATATAATAATAACAAAACCCAAGAAGCAATAACAGAAAGAGAAAGGTGCATAAAAATCTGAAGATCAACCTACCATAGCACAGAAAAGAGATATATGTATATGTTTATGCTCATATATATATATATATATATATATATATATATATATATATTTCAATTATAAAATACTCTTTAAAGAAATTAAGAACAACCTAAATAGTTGGAGGAATATTCATGCTCATGGCCAGTCTTTGCTCATGGCAGGCTTTTATATAATAAAAATAACAATATTACTAAAGTTAATTTACACTTCGAATGCTATGCCAATCAAAATACTAAGGGAATGTTTTATATAAATTGATAAAATAATAAAATTCATTTAGAAAAGCTAAAGATCTAGAATATCAAGGAAAATGAGGAAAATAAGTAGGGACAAAAGGGGAATTGCCTTTTAGACTTCAAACTATATTATAAAACAGCAATCATCAAAACCATCTAGTATTGGTTAAAAAACAAAGAGATAGCACAATGGAAGAGATTAGGCAAAGGAAAGTTAGAAACAATGGAACTTAATAACTTAGTGTTTGATGAAATAAAAAACAAATTACCTGGGGGGCATACTCCTTTGTGATTAAAAAAAAAAGTCTGAGAAAACTAGAAAGCAGTATAGCAGCATTTAGACTTACTACACCTTACACTCTAGTCAACAATATGTTCTAAATGGATATGCAACCTTAATATTAAGATCATACTACAAGAAAAATGAGAAGAGAAGCACTTCATATGCTTCTTACAATTATGGCTGAGAAATATATTCTTAACCAAATAAGAGGTTCAAGCAATCATAGAAAACAAAATATTTAACTCTGATGACATGAAACTAAAAAGCTTCTTCACAGATGAATTAATGACCTAGGATAAGAAAGTGGTCAAATGGGAAATAATTTTAGATTAAATTTTGATAATAGTTTGGTATCCAAGATATATAAACAAGTAATAAATATACACAAGACTAAAAGCCATTTTTTTTAATACTTAAATGGTTAAAAGATATGGACAAGCAGTTCTCTAAAGTAAATTGCAAAGTATTCACAACCACATGAAAGAGTTCTCCAGATCATTAACAACAAGAGAAATGCAAATCGAAACAAACCTGAGGCTTCACCTCACAACCTACAAATTGGCAAAGATGACAAAAAATAGCAACAGTCAATGTTAGGAGGGTTGTGAAATATAAGAATCCTCATACACTGTTGGTGGAGCTGTAAAACGTTATAACCATTTTGGAAAGGAATTGGAAATTATGTAAACAAAATGACTAAAATATCTATACTTTTTGAAACAGAAACTCCATTACTGGGCTTATATCTCAAGGAACCCAGAAACAAGAATAAAGTTGCTATATTCTTCAGAATATTTATAGCAACACTTTTTGTGATACCAAAGAATTGGAAACAAAGTGGATGACCATTGATTGGGGGAATGGCTAAACAAATCATGGTATATTATAGTAATGGACTAGTAATGTGCTGTAAGAAATGATGTGTGTAATGAATACAGAGAAACATAGAGAGATCTATGTGAACTGATGCAGAATGAAATGAGCAGAGCCAAGAAAACAGTATTCATAATAACTGCTACAATGTAAATGGAAAGAACAAACACACACTAAAAATTCAAAAGTAAATGTAACAAAATGTGATAAAATAATAAAGATCAAGCTCAACTCAAATGAAGAGATAGGACAGTACATCTCCAGTCAACCTCTAAGTGGAGGTGAGATGTTCACAAGTGTTACACTTTGAACTTTTTCAATGCATTGATTAGTTGTGATTTTTATTCCTCTTTTTGCATTTAAAAATACTGTTTGCTATATGAGATGGCTTTCTAGGAAGGGGAGGGGATGCTAGGGATAACTATGATGAGGTAAAAAAACAGAAGACAAAAACTTGTTTCAAAAAAACTTATACAAGTTATGTAGGAAAAATAGGCAGTGTGACATAATGTAATTGGAATCAAGAGACCAGGATTAAGTCTTGCCTCTGACATATGCTGTTTGTATGATCAATGGCAACTCATTTCACCTCTCAGTGGCTTTCATATAAGTTACTGAGAAGTTGATTCATTGGTTCTCCACTTCCCTCTTGCAATTGTTTTTAAAACAAAGGGATGAAAGGACAAGTTTCTCTCAGAACCACTATGAAAAGTAGTGTGAAATCAGTAAAAAGAAAAACAGTATAAAAATGCTAGGAGAAACATGCAATTTTTCATGAATTTTTGTTTATATATTTTCATTGCTCCTTGAGTTTGACTTCAAATTATAGGTTTATTAGTGTTTTAACAAAGCAAAGGTGAAACTCAGAAGGAAAACAAAAAGCTTATTATATGCAAAACAAGAAGTTCCACTAGCTATTTGGAAAATATCATTTTATGTTCCTATACTTTCCCTTATTCATCTGTCACCATTTGGAACTTTCCTAAATGATAATGAGAGTCAATACAGTAATATCCTATACATAGCATAACTGTACTTTCTCTTTGTTCCTTTCACTCAGTGTTTGTTTTATGGCTGTGATCCAGTATATTATTGGCATATATTATTGGAAAAAACCTATCTTTTTGTAAAATGAAAATGGAATGGGGGAGGGTGTTGTAGGGACCATG